ATCATAACATCAAGGGAATCAGAATCCGTGCCATCGATATTGCCGATCGTGTCGTCTTCTTCCATGTTTTGGTCTCATTGGAAGAAATAACGGCTGAACGCACCTATTTTTGCCAAACTGCTCTCTGCGCCGAGTGCATGCCATTCCTTGAGATCAGTTTCTGGGATTTAACTAGCTTTCAGGGCCGTGAAGAATAGCTTTGGGGTAACTCGCAAATAATCGGCTGACGTTTCTGTCATTGAGTTCAAAACCATGGCTTAAATCTAATGCGTTGTAGTCGCTTAATGAAGAGTGCATTCGTTGTGAAAAGTGAGAGCTTGCCGACACTGTCAGCAGTGGTGAGATTTCGTCGTTTTTACGTGCATCTCTCACTTGAAACCTTTGTATCAAAAATGTCTGACAGTGTAGGGTGTGGTGTTTTGGATGAGGAATAGTGCTATCCAGGAAGTGGTTCTTTTCTAGTTAAGGGGATTAACATCCTTTGCCATCTTAATGTATTTTCCACTGGAAGGGAAAGAGGCCTGTTTATAATGGGGGCGCAAAATTAGTCAAACTGACAGCTACGCGACCTAAAAGCTGCGCTAGAATGAAATGTATTACCGAAGAACGCCTTTAATTTATTAATTTGTTTGAGCGATTTTTAATTAATAGTACATTTTAAAAGTGGCAGCTGAAAATGTAAAAAGGAAATCCTATAAAAAACGGACTATAATTTTGCTACAAATTGATTAAAATTACTGCTGTACATGTTATCCTCAGGAAATATGCGCAGTGACTTGCTTAGTTGTTTAACAACTCGAGCAATTGCGCCTCCGCAGATTGTGCTCCCGCCCTGCGGCATGGCCTTGAGGCTCTGCTAGTGACCTCCCAATCCTCCTGTTCGTTAGTAATATAATACACGAGCTTCCATAATAATTTGGCTTATAATGTTACAGCAAAGACTCGAGGCGCTACATTTGAATCCAATGGGTGAATTCCCTCACTCCCATCCGAACCTTCTTCTATCTTCCTGAGTAGAAAATGAGCAAAATTAAAATTATATTGCCCTTACAAAGCAGCAGATTTGTTGAATTGTTGCAGTAACCGCTGTGGCGCCTGTAGTCCTACCTGATGCCCTTAATAGACCTAAGTATTTTGGGAGAAAATACATTACTACGAGGCCGTTGGCATGTCCCGAGGGCCATGCCACAGCGTAGAGGTACAGGTGCCGGTATAATTAAACGCACAGGTTGACAAAATATTACGTCGCTACACCACTCTATACTAGTTTTTTAAGCATCCGAACTTCCACAATTTCCCCTATTATTAATGCAAGCTTCGATGGTACACATCTACACTGCTCCCCTTTTGTAGAACTAATGTTGGTTTTGTGATTATGGTCGGGAAGTGCATGGAAATCTGCAACGCACTGCTGCACCCCGAGTCATCCAGAAAGGGTGAGGGGTTAGTGGGAAGACAGAGAGGCCATTGCCGCCCAGTGGAAGTACTATGGCGGACCCTTCAATGGCTGCGAAACAAAAACGAAGAGTTGAGTAAATAATCAAAACGTTACGATGCAACACACCTTGTACCTTCTTCTATTCCAACAAAAGACATGCATGTTATAATGGTATCAAAATTGATGATGAGCCAAACAGCATTGAAATGCAACGACGAACTACACATTCATACTACAAAGAGGATTTTGGAACAGCTAAGCTAAGCAGACATGAAACGGAGTATTCATGTTAGTGTTCGGCTGCGGGATCTTAAAAGGAGTAGAACTGGGCTGTTTTTTGGTATTCACCGGTCCTGGGGAAGGTGATATTTCGTGGTGCCCCGAGATATCACTGAAGAGAAAAGAAGACACGATACACAGGCAGAATATGTACTACCGACATAGAGTAGGACTTGGGGCTACTAGCATAGCCGAGAGGTTGGCTCATCCTGCAAAGACACAATGGCGGGGGGCCTTGGTGTCTCCTGTACCAAAACCGGGAGTTAAGCAACCAACTTATTACAATTTCACGAACAGTTAGCGTTCGAGTCTTATCAAAATGCTACTTGGCATATTAGAAACCGAGATAATTTACATTACCTTAACTAGCCGCCTTGAAGTGGATCACCATAGAAATGAAATAAATTTTGAAAAAGAATCCGGTTGACACTATCAAATGGAACATTATTTTAATTTTCTACAATTTTATAACAAGTAATCTGTCGGTGTTTCAAATCATTTAGAACATGCAAAGATCTTCTTTCTCACGCAAAATTCCCCTAAAATTTAATAAACAAATGCCACATCATGGAGTAACTTTTAATTTGATCTTCGGATGGTCCCACTCAAAAAAGTCATTAGCATTGTGAAATTCCTTAAAAACTCACTCACTAATATCTTTTTGGTGTACACATCCTTATGCCCAATTTTAGGTAACAAATCACGGAATTTTAGGAATCGTCCATAATGTACTACGGAATCCTGGAACAGTGGGTCATTTGATACCTGTACAACATTCTTCCATTCTCTAAACATTTCCATGCCCTAAAAATAGAAAACTAAAAACAGGCTTGAACATGGGTGGGACTAAACAATTTATGGTAAGGGGAAATTACTAACAGGCGCTAATGCGTGACCTTAGCATAATGCATAAGCATTTGACGCAAATGCCTTCCCCCACATCCATGTCGAAGCAACCAATCACAGTCACATAGGAGGTCATTCGAGTTTAAATGCCCTCTTTAAACAGGCGCATAAACGATTCGGGGTAAACGTTTGGAATTATTCCACAAGGTAGTGAATTCAATCAGGGTTGTTTGTGAAATAAAAAAATACTCAAAAAATTTTAATATTTCGCTGCTAGATTGGCGCATACTAGTGTTTTGAACAAGAGTCGTCTGCATCGACTACTTACTGCTAGGTAGATATTCGATATAATGGGTTCGAAATAATGACCTTCCTGTACGCCTGCGCCTACACGATTCGAATCGGGAGAGTGCAATAATTTGGTATTTTGGGTATGAATTATTCACCAACCCTTCTTCATGATACTATTGCCTCACGTGTTAGTAGAAATTTACG